AAAATGTGTAGCACTTTACTAAGCCACATCGCATTATGGAAACCTGCAGGGTCTGCCAGTATGAACTTCTGGTCTGAACACCCATTTTTTGTAAGCTACTTGGAACATAACAACTATAAGGATCCCATTTACAAAGTAAATATTTTAGCAAACTTTTTTGAAAGGTCCTTCTGTTCAGTAGATATGGTAATGGACTACTACAGTGTATTTGCTAGACTTTGACAAAGTGTTGTGTTGGAGGTTCAGTGTAGACTCCTGAAAGAGACAGTGAGCCAGTTAGAAAAGACACATTTTATCTGAAGCACAACTGAATTTTTTTTATTTCCCATTTATTTGTACCCTTACATATTACGATTTGAGACTGTTTTTTGTTAGGAGATGCCTTATAATATATTTTCCTGCTTTCAGCTCATACACTTCAGTGGCCTGATCTGACGGAGCTGAGTAGCAGACATGCCCCTCAGCACAAGTATCATCAGACACAGGCTTGTACTGAAGAGAAGAGGAATGTGGAGCCAAGCCTATGAAAATGTGGGATCAGAGGACATGGACAATCTGACTGAGCTTCTCATCCTCCTCCATTTTTCTGTGAATTGAAGGAAGTGAGCATGAATCTCCTCAAAAGCAGGCATAAAACACAAAAAAAACCCTAAAAGAAGTCCTAACCCATCCCAAATTTGTCCAAACCGAAAAGAAAAGTTTTTGTTGGAGTTGGGCCTAAAAACACCTCAGAGTCAGTGTAACGGAACCAACCCAGACTGCGCTTGAGTACTTCCGTTAGATTACCGCTCCCCCCCCGTCCGAACACCGACAACAGACACCACAGCCGACCATACAAGACTAGATGACTTTATTTGAACACAGATACAAGATATATACACTCAGGGGACAATCCCCCCTCCCTGCATAATGACACAGGGCGGGACAATCTACATTTAGTAAGGAGACACACAGGTATTCAAACTTCACACCAGCAGACAGTCCATCAGGAGGGAGAGCTGCTAGAGACACCCCCCACTAAGCTAATACACATAAACACATACATCCCATAATAGTTTGCTCCCAAGCCAAACAATAGAACAATGGGATGCAGCCACATAACATTAAACAGTCCACAATCCCCCACCCCACCTATCTCCTAAACATGTCTACACAGTCTGAGACAAAGCCCACACAATATTAGGACAGATCTCCCTGTACCCCTAACAGGCACAGGGTGACTTACACATAATAGGGATATGGGGAGCTGAGACAGGGGTCTCCCCACCTCTCCAAAGTGAGCTGGGTTCCATGGGCCCCCCACCCAAAGTGACTCCCGTCACAGTCAGGCCAACTGCATTTATGAGAATCTCTGACAATGGACATTTTTGGTAATTAAAGGATACTAGAAAAACTCCCCTAAAGCCATCCTTACATTGACATAGTTGCAAAGCTTTTATGGTCAAGTGATCTCTGTATTGCATAGCTCCCAACAGCTCTGTCTTTGAGGGACTGTCCCTCTTGCGGAACCAAATCCCTCTGTCCTAGACATGTGATTCGTTTCATTACGAATCGAAATTTGGACAAAATTTTTGTTATTCTGATGTATCCGAATTTCTGAATCACAATAGTAACAAATTTCAACGAATCTGAAATAAATGATAACAAACCGAACGCATTTTGAATTCAGATTCAAAATTTTATTTGAATTTGAAAATCAATCTAAATTTAAATATGAAAATTAATTTGAATTCAAAGATTAATTCAAATTAAAAATGGAAACAATAAATACAGTCTTTAATGAAAGTGAAATAAGATGATGACTCCTACTTAGGAGTAGAAAATAAAAGAATCCAATAGAACAACATAGAATAGAATATAAAAGAATAGAATAGACAATAAAAGAATAAAATAAAACATAATAAAATAGAATAGAAATGAATAGAATAGAAAATAAATGAATAAACTAAAATAGAATAGAATACAAAATAAAAGAATAGAATATAATAGAATAGAAAGGAATATAATAAAACCATATAGAATAATACATAAAATAAAATAATAGAATAGAAAGGAATAGAACAGAAAATAATATATCAGATTAGAATAAAACAGAATAGAATATAACAGAAAATAAAAGAATATAATAGAAAATAATAAAATAGAATAGAGTAGAAAAAAACAGTAAAAAACAGAATAGGAAAACAATAGAATATATTAGAATAAGATAAAATAGAACAAATATAGCCGCCTTCCGTAATTCAGATGGCATAGATAAGAAGTGGTTCCCTGGTCTAGACTATTGTAGGGATGTTGTATTTTTGCAGTAGGCTGCAGTTGGAGTTATTTCCAGGGCTTTTTTTCAGCGGAAACGTGGGGGAACGCAGTTCTGACACCTCCAGCACTGAGTGTATGTAATTGCAAGGGGTGCTGAGGTGTGCTGGAGGGTCTATTGATACTGGCTGCTAGGGGATCTATTGTTGCTGGAGGGGAGATATTTTTGCATTGTGGTCTATTGTTGCTGGGGTGATCTATCGTTGCTTGGGGGGTGTTATGTTGCTGGGAGTCAATTGTTGTTGAATGGGATTTACTGTTGAGAGAAGGGTCTTTTGTTGCTGGTTGCTGTGAGATCTATTGTTGCTGGAGGGCATCTATTTTTGCATGACAATCTATTGTTGCTGGGGGGGGGGGGGTTAGTGATATTGGTGTGGGGGGGTCTATTGTTTCTAGGGGCTTACATTGTTGGAGGGGGGGGTCAATTTTTGCTGAAAAAATCAACTGTTCAAGGAGGGGGTCTATTGTTGCTGGCTGATGGAGAGTCTATTGATGCTGGCTGCTGGGAAATCTGTTGTTGCTGTTAAGAGTCTATTGTTGCTGGCTGCTGGAGAGTCTATTGATGCTGACTGCTGGGAAATCTGTTGTTGGTGATAGGGATCTATTGTTGCTGGAGGGGAGCTATTTTTGCATGGTGGTCTATTGTTGCTGGGGTGATCTATCGTTGCTTGGGGGGTGTTATGTTGCTGGGGGTCAATTGTTGTTTAATGAGATTTACTGTTGAGAGAAGTGTCTTTTGTTGCTGGTTGCTGTGAGATCTATTGTTGCTGGAGGGCATCTATTTTTGCGTGACAATCTATTGTTGCTGGGGAGGTTTAGTGATGCTGGTGTGGGGGGGGGGTCTATTGTTGCTAGGGGCTTACATTGTTGGAGGGGGGGCAATTTTTGCTGAAAAAAATCAACTGTTCAAGGAGGGGTCTATTGTTGCTGGCTGCTGGAGAGTCTATTGATGAAATCTGTTGTTGGTGTTAGGGGTCTATTGTTGCTGGGGAGGGCCTTTGCTGCTGGCTGTGGGGATCTACTGTTTTTCTTGTTGTCATTACCAAATTCCATACAAAATGATACTTTGCTCTATATTCTCTAAAAGGGGCGGTACTGGGAGGTGGGTCAGGAGGCGGTACTGGGGAGGTGGGTCAGGAGGCGGTACTGGGAGGTGGATCAGGGGGCGGAGACAAGAAGGGACTCAGAAGGGGGATTTCCTTCACCTATTCTTTGAGAAAAAAAACCCTGGTTATTTCTAAGAATAAAGTGATTTTTCATGGCACTTGCTGTCTGAGCTTGCTCCAGCAGGGGTGTGCTAGAGAGGTGTCATACTGTGTTATGAATGTTTAACGACCTAACCAATCCGCAGGTTTGGGGAGATTAGTAATGCATGCTGGGAGAACTGTTAAATATTTGGGACAACTTCTACCTCTTCCCTCATGGGATTTTTCCCTGTGAGGTTGTCACCAAGAAATATCTGTGTTTCTCCCCAGGCCTGTGGGCCTAGAGCTAGGAAGAAAGCCAGGATCTCCCCTCCTGGGAACTATTCCTGAAAATGCTGGCTGCTGAAGTCTAAGAAGAAGGTGAGACTGTCCCCAGCCAATGAAATGTGGTGAGTGACTGGTTGAGTAGAAAGTATACACGGAACCTCTCCATGCCGTCCTGCCTTGGAACAATACAATTGGGATATGACTTGAACTTGGTGTCAAAGCTCTCTCAGTGTCCAGCCAGCATTTTTACAGTAGATAGGAACTTTGTCAGAGATGAGAGACTAAGAAGAGAATAGACCCTAGTCAGGTGTTTGAGACCCTCCATATTTTGGGGTTATCTTGATCTGCACCTCACCCTGCTTCCTATATTGCAATCTGCAATTACCAGTTCTTGTTTTCAGCTTACTAAAATGACTGGTGTCCACTTTTTTTTACACCTTGAGAAAAGAACCATGCCTGAGATTAAAACATGCATCCCCCAGCTGCTGATTGACTAGGTCAGGGGTCTCCAAACTTTCTAAACAAAGGGCCAGTTTACTGTCCTTCAGAATTTAGAGGGTCCAGACCGTGGCCAGTAGCCATCATTGGAGGGAGTGGGAGAAATAGGGTCTTATCGTTGGTATCAGTGGGAGGAATAGTGCCCCATCATTGGTGTCAGTGGGAGGAATAGTGCCCCATCATTGATATCAGTGGGAGGAATAGTGCCCCATCACTGGTGTCAGTGGGAGGAATAGTGCCCCATCATTGGTGTCAGTGGGAGGAATAGTGCCCCATCACTAGTGTCAGTGGGAGGAATAGTGCCCCATCATTGGTGTCAATGTGAGGAATAGTGCCCCATCACTGGTGTCAATGGGAGGAATAGTGCTTCATCACTGGTGTCAGTGGGAGGAACAGTGCCCCATCACTGGTGTCAGTGGGAGGAATAGTGCCCCATCATTGGTGTCAGTGGGAGGAACAGTGCCCCATCACTGGTGTCAGTGGGAGGATATAGTGCCCCATCATTGTTGTCAATGGGAGGAATAGGGCCCCATCACTGGTGTCAGTGGGAGGAATAGTGCCCAATCATTGGTGTCAGTGGGAGGAATAGTGCCCCATCATTGGTGTCAATGGGAGGAGTAGTGCCCCATCATTGATGTCAGTGGGAGTTATAGTGCCCCATCATTGCTGTCAGTGGGAGGAAGAGTGCTTCATCATTGGTTTCAGTGGGAGGAATGGTGTCTTATCGTTGTTGTCAGTGCCAGGAACAGTGCCCCACTGTTGGTGTCAGTAGCAAGAGCTATGCCCCATTCTTAATGTCACTGAGAGAAATAGTGCCCCAAGGCCTGCAAAATGGTAAACAAAAGGTCGCATCCAGCCCTTGTGCCACAGTTTGGAGACCACTGGGCTAGGCCATTAAAAGTGTTACTAAACCCAGGACCCTGCATTCACTATATCCGCTCTCCCCGGACCCTGCATTCACTATATCTGGTCTCCCTGGACCCTGCATTCACTAATATCCGCTCTCCCAGGACCCTGCATTCACTATATCTGGTCTCCCCGGACCCTGCATTCACTATATCTGGTCTCCTCGGACCCTGCATTCACTATATCTGGTCTCCCTGGACCCTGCATTCACTATATCCGGTCTCCCTGGACCCTGCATTCACTATATCTGCTCTCCCCGGATCCCGCATTCACTATATCTGGTGTGCCCGGACCCTGCATTCACTATATCTGCTCTCCCCAGATCCTGCATTCACTATATCTGGTCTCCCCAGACCCTGCATTCACTATATCTGCTCTCCCCGGACCCTGCATTCACTATATATCTGCTCTCCCCGGATCCTGCATTCACTATATCTGCTCTCCCCAGATCCTGCATTCACTATATCTGGTCTCCCCGGACCCTGCATTCACTATATCTGCTCTCCCCGGACCCTGCATTCACTATATCTGCTCTCCCCGGATCCTGCATTCACTATATCTGCTCTCCCCAGATCCTGCATTCACTATATCTGGTCTCCCCGGACCCTGCATTCACTATATCTGCTCTCCCCGGACCCTGCATTCACTATATCTGCTCTCCCCAGATCCTGCATTCACTATATCTGGTCTCCCAGGACCCTGCATTCACTATATCTGGTCTCCCCGGACCCTGCATTCACTATATCCGGTCTCCCCGGACCCTGCATTCACTATATCCGGTCTCCCCGGACCCTGCATTCACTATATCCGGTCTCCCCGGACCCTGCATTCACTATATCTGGTCTCCCCGGACCCTGCATTCACTATATCTGGTCTCCCACAATGCACAGAACATGGAAATGCAATTCTTTTATGAAATATAAACTTATAAATACCTTTTCCATCACCAGTTGCAGCAGTCTTGTGACTTCTATCAGTGTCCAGCAGAACACTGGTTAAAGCTTGTAAGAGGAGTTTTCATTCTCCCCTGATTGTCCTGTGAGGCTATAGGGCCCCTGACCCTCTGTCTGGACAGCGCTGATTGGCCCTTGATCTGATCATATGTATTCTCCCAAGAAAAGAAAAAAACTCTCTAGCAATACACACCAAACTGAGCATGCCCCCCCCCAAGGCTCTATACTATCAGCAGATGGATTGGGGACAGAAGGAGAAGAGGAGGATCAGAGAAGACAGGATCAGACAACCTTTTTTTTTTTATCATGCAGAGGATTAACCCCTTAGGTTCCACAGTGAGTATAACAAGCATGCTTTACTGCATATACAGACTGATTGTACTGTTGTGAGTTTAGTAACACTTTAAACATTCATAACACAGAATGACACCTCTCTAGCACCTTCTGCTGGAACATGCTGAAACAGCATGTTCTGTGTCTTATTGCCATGTATGAGTGCTTAGGAAATTTGTAATGTAGCTGTTGTTCATCTGATAGTTAATATTTATGGACTATCAATACTACTAGGACTACATTGTGAAAACAACTAAATGAGGAAGCCGTGATTTTACAGCAGGGCTTCTCAACCAGGGTTCCATGGAACCAAAGAACAAAAGGTATACAATCCAGATCGATCCACAACAGGAGCAGGCTCTGGCTCGCCACCACACATGATGCAATAGGAAGAAGGGTCTGCCACACACCGGAGGATAGATGAATATAGTGTGTATATATTGATCCATAGCAGGGGCGGACTGACAACTCATGGGGCCCCCGGGCAATAGGGGATCATGGGGCCCCTGTGTCCTTGCCCAAAATCAAAAAAGCCTATGAAAAAGGTACCAGGGGCATCTCATGGGGCCCCCTACTGACCCCGGGCCCTCGGGCAGTGCCCAAGTTTCCAAATGGTCAGTCCGCCCCTGATTAGGACACACAAAACACCAGGACATGAATACAGGACTTGTTAACACGTTCCACACGATCTCGTGCTTAATCATCATGTGCGGCTGACCCTTCTTTCTATTGCAGGGTTCCATGGAACCCTAGGATTCCTCCAGAGGTTGTTAGGGGTTCCTTGAGCAATATCCGCACACCGACAATATCCGCCTCTCAGACAAGTTCCCGCTGACACCACTGATATTTTTAGCTATTTAACCACTTGCCCTTCTGAGGATTTACCCCCCTTAATGACCACGCCTCTTTTTGCTACTCGGCGCTGCACTAATTCAACTAATAATTGCGCGGTCATGCAATGCTGCACCCAAACGAAATTTACGTCCTTTTTTTCACACAAATAGAGCTTTCTTTCTGTGGTATTTGATCACCTGTGCGCTTTTTATTTTTCGCGCTATAAACAAAAAAAGGCCAAAAAGTTTGAACAAAAACGATATTTTTTACTTTCAGCTATAAAAAATATATAGTAAACTCAAAGTTGGTTATAAATTTAGGCCAAAATGTATTCTGCTCCATGTTTTTGGTAAAAAAAATCCCAATAAGTGTATATTGATTGCTTTGTGTAGAAGTTATAGCGTCTACAAACTATGGTATAGATACTGCAATTTACGCCATTTTTTTGCTATACAGCGATGCACTAGTTTAACAGACAATTGCGCGGTCATGCAATGCTATACATAAATGAAATTTACATCCTTTTTTTCCCCACAAATTGAGCTTTCTTTCGGTGGTATTTGATCGCCTGTGTGGGGTTTTTTTTTTTTTTTGCGCTATAAGAAAAAAAGGCTGACAATTTTGAGGAAAAAAAAAATATATATTTTGGACTTTTTGCTATAACACATGTCCAGTAAAAAAAAGTGTAAAAATCAAATTTAGTCATAAATTTCTGCCAAAATGCATTCTGCGACATGTCTTTGCTAAAAAAAAACCCCAATACGTGTAAATTAATTGGTTTACGTGAAAGTTATAGCGTTTACAAATGGCGGGAAAGATACTGGGATTTTTAGGTTTTTTTTATACTATTAATGGTGGCGATCAGCGAATTATGGCGGCGATCAGTGACTTATGGCGGCAATCAGCGACTTATGTCGGGACTGCGGCGGACATTCTGACATTGGGGGTACTGACTTGGGGTCACTGACATCCCCAGTGACACCAACACAGTGATCAGTGCAAAAAAAAAAAAAAACGCTGACACTGTACTAATGGCACTGGGGAGGAAGGGGTTAAGTTTATTTTTCAGGGAAAGGGTTAACTGTGTGAGGGGAGTGTTTTACTAGGGGGCAGGGGTGTGTACTGCACGGGACACTGCTAATCAGGAGAGAGAAAACTCTTCTGTCCCGATCAGCTTGTCCTGGAGCTGTCAGGGAACTGACAGAGAGCACAGCTACTGCAGCTGTGCTCTCTGTCAGCGATTGCTGCCGATCGCTGGGACATAGCCGGTAACGACCGGCTGTGACCCGGCGACTGACATCCGCAGCTGTGATCGGCGGGACAGGTAGGGCGGTGGCGTGCCTCTCGCGCCTCCCCTACCTGTTTACAAAACACACATTTTAAAACGTGGTTTTGCCCAGCCGTGGCGCCCTGCCGCCGTATTTCTACAGTGGCTGGACGGCATGTGGTTAAAGGGGGTAATTCTTCTCAATGACCACAAGTGTAAGGAGCATTCTTCCCACTGACCATCACACCAATGTATCATGAGCTGTAGATACAGTCATTTTTAACAGGGGTTCCCCGAGACCAAAAAGTCATTTCAAGGGTTCCTCTGTTTTGAAAAGGTTGAGAAAAGCTGTTTTACAATCTGTAATTCTTGGAATAAGTAAGTAAAAAATATCACAACGCTCAACAAAGAGATTGAAGAATGGGACATTACGAGAGGACAGGTTGTTTTAAAGTTCTAATAAATGCTTGTAACCCCCCCACACATCAACATCCACCTGGGAGATTGTGATCTTCTATCTGCAGGAGAGGATCAGCGGGTTAATCTGTTTCACGATATGAGACACAAGTCATTCTGCAGACTCTGCTGGTTTCTGTCAGAAGAGCAGAAAAGATGTATTCTTCCTTGTAGCTAATACCCATATGATGGAGTATTTACAGCATACAGGTTCCTTTACTCTCTACAACTTGATTTATCATCAGCTACTTCCACGCTGGGTTCAGCGACTGAAGAAAATGCTGGATAAGGTCTTTTGAAACTTGGTTATAGAAACAATGCAAATTCTTAAAATCAAAATAAATCTTTGCACTCAGATTAAATAATACATGAAAAGCAGCTGACACAGAAACGGATACAATCCCTCAATATAATAGATAACAAACAAAAGTGCAGCGCTGGATAGTGTGAAAAACAATTGATTCAAACAAAAATCCACGCTAATTAGTGTTAAAGTCCATCAGAAAAAAAGTCCAACAAGAACAGAAAAAAATCAAGAAAGGAGGCAGATGACACCTCTATAATCTTCGTGAAAAACAACAAACATGCAAGAGATCTTACCAGAGCTATTGGGCTTTTATATTACAAAAGCCAATAGTACTTTAGGGGTTAACCCCGCACAACTCTCCGGTTTATGGTGCAAAGATAGTCTCCTTGGCTCTGCTCCAACTCCGCCCCTGACAGCATCAATTGATGACGAAACGCGTTGGATGGAGCTTCATGTGACGTCACCATGCTGCGCCGGAATGCCCATACTTTGGGATTGCTGCAGCTCCGGTATTGCTTTCTTGACAGATATGCAATTTTCAAGATTGTGAGTGCATTGTTTACTTTTAATATTGGTTTTAAGTATTGGGCATGCTACACTATTAGTGCTTATTCTTTACATGATTCATTGGCGGTAACACGGAGTTGGAGCAGAGCCAAGGAGACTATCTCTGCGCCATAAACCAGAGAGTTGTACGGGGTAAACCCTTAAAAGATTTTTTTTAGACCTTGGAAATGAAAATATTTTTAGGAATTCCATTAAAAGGTATCTGATTTTTGCCCTAATTAGATTTAATTAACTGTTAAAATAGAAATTTAGTCAGACAATTCATGGCTATGTAAAACATTAAAAATAAGTGCCTATTCTGTTTAAAAATCAGTAATGAATTGTCTCATCCTGAAACAAAGTATATCAATAAAGTGTTGGTCTCCCCTCTGAGGATGTGCGTGGCACGAAAGGCCTAAGGAGGAACCAACACGCTGTGACGTCACGCCGCCGGAGCCACGTGCAGGTCCGGCGGCCATCTTTATGTATGGTCAGTTCACTTTGCAATACTGTATATTACCTGTTTCCATGGAATAAAAAATTTAAAGGAATACTACAC